GCCTATCCTGCATATAATGAAATACTGTGTTCATGTAACTCCCTGAAGGCTGATGCTGAAGATTAATCATCTGAGAGTGAAACTCCAATGAACTGAATTACAGTTATCCAGTTCACTTTAAAAAAAATAAAGTGCGTCTTGGACGGACTATCTCTAAACCAAGTGTAATTTAATGTTTGGCAAAGTTCGTCTCTTTTCATTAACTGTAAACATGCTACTCATATGCTCTCAATCAATGTCTGTTTTGCATATACCGCAAATAAGGCAAAATAAAAACTTTAAGTTTGTTTACCATATAATTATCTGGGGCTGTTCACGTTTCCAGACCCATGATTAGAGTAACTTCCCTTGCCATTCATGCCTCATTAGGTCGCTGGACCTCTCTTATGTTGCGGGGGAGTCGTGTTTTTCTTATTATGAACGGTGTAACCGTTGCCTCTGTTCTCGTCTTTACACCGCTCGATTACGTGATTATTTTCACTTTCTGCTATCTGCGCGACGGTAACAGCGATATTTTTCTATTCCTACGCTCCCGGTAACTGCTTTCTTTCTCTTGTGGGGGGGGGGGGGCACCACTAACGAACGTAGAAATACAAAAACATCACAGTTTCGATAGCAAGAATCGTCGCACCTGCGTTCGTCCCCCCTGCAGTACTTCTTACTTATACACAGGCGCCTGTGGCGCCTGAAATAGACTCACAACAACACAACCTCCAACAAACATTACATACACCGAGCGAATGCCAGACCAAGCCATATCATAACACCCCTGCCAAATAGGAGAGGTCCAGCGACCGAAGGAGGCATGAATGGCAAGGGAAGTTACTATTCCTGGGCCTGAAAATGTGAACATGTCGAATTATCTTCATACAAGGACGTGATTATTAACAAGCTGCATGCCAGGTTTCAACAACTTATATTAGACAGTTACCACGTTACACAGATATTTAAAGTTGGGCATGACTTTTTAACTGACTACAATCATATTTTGATGTATGAAATCAAATTTACAATATCGCCTACTATATTTATCTTTTCAGCTCGCCTTCACAGAGCTGTCAAATTACAGACAGGAAGAAAAGAAGGGGGGTAAGTCAGTTGTCTCTCCATCTCATTCCGTACCAGACAACTCACCACGCATCTGTTGGGTTCTACTTACATTCTATATTTACTGATGCAGAATCAAATTCGTTGGGCTGGTCATGTGGCACGCATGACAGATCACAGGCTCCCAAAAAAACTCTTTTATGGTTAGCTGCAAAATGGAAAACGTTCCCAAGCTAAGCTAAAAAAAAAAAAAAAAAACGCTTTAAGGACACCTTGAAGTCTTCACTTAAAGCATTTGGGATGAGTGACACCGATTGGGAGGCTGCCATTCAAGACCGAAATGCATGGCGTGCAACTCTACACAAGGGCGCGGCTACATGTGAAGCAAACAGAACAGCAAGACTGATTAAGAAAAGGATGGACAAAAAGGTCACTGCAGGAGATACCCTCCCTGGCACAACACTCATTCCCTGTCCTCACTGTGCAAGAACTTTTCGGGCCCGCATCAGCCTCATCAGTCATCTTCGTACTCATATTTGATGAAAAAGAGTGGTCATGATCATCTTGATGGACAACACACACACACACACACACACACACACTCTATATATATATATATATATATATTTGTTGAACACCCTGATCCAACATCTAGACGTTAATCGCTAGTCGAGACTGTAATATTACTGCACACGGGTCACCACATGGCTGGATGCTCCTTTAATCATCATCATCAGTTCTCGTTATGCCTAGTGGCACACGAGGCTTCAGAGAGGACTTTCCATGCTTTCCTGTCCTGTGCAGTTTTCAGTGCAGTTTAACAAGTCAAAGATGCCGCACTCAGGTCACTTTCCATCGTTCGTCCCCATGTTGTTTTGGGCGCCCCTGTTTTCTCTTTCCTTCCGGTATGCATGTGAGAGCTGTTTTGGCAGGTATATCAGGATTCATTCTCATAACGTGGCCAAGCCATTTCCATCTTCTCTTGGTTATCATACTGTCTAGAGCTCCGTTCATGCGCCACTGGAAATCACACACTTCTTCTTCTTATTCTGCGTTCGACATCAGTCAATGAGTCCCGTCTGGGTCACAAATTGGATTGTGCGTTTAAGGTCGCCACCGGTTCCCCATTGCTTCTCTTTCAATATGGCTCCCTTGGGCCAGATTCACAGTCTTTGCTGGGAGAGGTAAGGGCAGTACTGTAGTATGTGCCCAGGGGTCTGTCTTTCTGCTCCACAATCGCAGGCAGCAATGTCCTTTACTGTCATATTTGAAAGCTAGTGGAAAATCTTGTCAATCCTATCATAATCTTCAAGCTTGTACATGCAAAGTAAAAATAAGGTAACGTAACTGATTGTCAGATGTGCCAGAACTAACGGTCCCACACAATAATTGTAGCCATCTGACATGGCACAAATCCATTACGCTAAAGAACACACAACACCAAATATTTCTT